GGGTCCAGGGGGGCGCAGCCCCCCGGCGGGGGGGGGGGGTTGGGGGGGGCGGGAGCCCCCCCAATTCTTCTTCGCTTTAGACTTGCTGTATTTCCGACTGATGTTTTCTTCGCGGTCAACCCCTCTGAAGCGTTTTCGTCTGGCTTTGTCCTTATTGTGTGTTGGCGAAGACGTTTGTATTCGATTCTTCTAAGAGCGCGAGGAGTTGGAGGTTCGCAATCTTTCCGACTTCGCGTGGCCTTAGCTTGCAGGCCCCGCGAGCGAGTGAGTTCGTTTTGTACAGCGCCAGGGTTAGCAAGGTGGCCTATATCAGGGGACTTCCCAAGGGGCTTACAGAGGCGTTTTACAGCGAGGAAGGGGAGCTTCGAGGCACGGGAAAGGGGGCTTTGAGGGCTCAACTGACAAAGGTGGACGGGGTTGGACGGGGCTTACCGTGTGACAGGGCCTGCGACAGGGGTTGACAGGGCCTATGGACAGGGCCTACGACGGGGTCGACAGGGCCTGTGGACAGGGCTCGACAAGGCCTACGACAGGGCCGACGACAGGATCTTTTACAGGAGTGCCTATGATGGAGGTAGGGGGTGGACAGGACCTTTTTGTAGGCCTGTGAGGGCCCCTGCGCACACCCTGTACGGACCTGTGCAGGGGTGCGTAGGCCCTGGCCTAGGCCTGTGGACAGGGGTGCACCTGTGGACAGGGGTGCACCTGTGGACAGGGGTGCATAGGCCTGTCAGAGGGTCTGTGGTAGCCTATGCCTATGCCTCGGGGGTTCTTTACCTTGTCGCATTGGAGGTTTATCACCGCTTGCCTTAAGCCCCAAGAATGCAGTCCCACTGTCGTTTTCGAGGAGATCCCACGATGGTTGAAGCGCTGCTGGACGCCCGCGCCAATCCAAATGACACGACGAGAAAGCCGCGAATGGATGCCGACATTGGCAAGCGCACCCCTGTGCTGTGCCTCGGTACCTGACTTCAGGGTCCCTGGGTTCACGGATGAGGCGTTTTAATTCGATCACCATGGAAGTTCTAGGATCCGGACGCAGCTCCATGCTGGGTTCTTATGGGCCACCCGACTATCTCCGAGACCCAAAATTTCACCAAAAGCCACCCGAGCCACGAACTCAAAGCTTCTTATTTTGCGTTGAAGCAGGCTTTTTGTGGGTTCGGAGTAGCTTCAGGTGCATTAGCATCAAGTTCCAGAACCTGAAAGTGGCCGAGCTCTTGATCCGGCGCCGTGCTGCCATCAATGTGAAGAACAACTTCTTGCCACCTCTCCATTTTGCAGCCTTCACCAACAATCCGGAGGCCTCCCCTCCCGACAATCGCCTGGGGTGGCGAGGGTTCGGAAGGTTTAGGCTTGGAAGCTCATGCAGAGAGGGTTGAGCCGGAAACAAGATCCTCGCAACTCCTAGCCCAAATTTCCGACTGCCTATGTCCAAGCCTCTGTAAGACCTCAGACGCTGAAGCATACAGCATACGCATCAGAAACTCATTTCAGGGGACACTCGATCCTCTGCTGGTGGGTGTCGCACGTGACGGTGGCTACGGGTTAGGGCTCAGGGTTCAGCACCCTCAGCCCTCAGCACGAAGCATGGCTTTGAGAGTGCCACTGGTCGTGGTAGTCGTTGTCGTTCTGGGGGCAGTCAGCCAACGGGGAGTGGTAGCCGCAGAAGCAGCGAGGAGGAGCGCCAGTAGCTGTATCAGTGGTGGCAGTTCCAGTGGTAGTGGTTGTGGCTCAGATGCGACAACCAAGCTGCCTTAGCTCTTGAGCCCTAAACCCTAACAGCCTTAAACCTATTACCTCCTAGCCTGGTTTCCAAGCAGCCCAGAGGCCGTAAAGACCCTCTGCCGTCACAGAGCTGACCTCGGAATCAAGAGACTGGGTCGGAGTTTATGCTTGGGGTTTTCGTTGGGGTCCGTATCGCAGGGTTTCGGGCTTCCATTCGGGTGTTTCATGTTCTTTGAGACTCCCAAGCTTTCGTGTTCGAGGCTTGTCTGGGAACTTTGGCTTTCGAGCGTCCAAGGTTGGGGCATGAAGTGAGTGGGGGCCTTGGGTTCAGCAGAGCTCAGTGGAATCCCAGAATACCCCTGACAAGGGACCCGATACCCCAACGTGCTTTCAGCAGTCATATTGTGTGTGCCCTACGCCCGTACAAAATCCGAGAACGAGTCAAACCCCAAGCCTTCTTGTTGTGGCCAGGAACAGCTTCGGCTTGTCGGCATGGCACAGCGCTGCTATGTCTTCGAGCGATACCGGCTGGGATGCGCTGGATGAGACTTGCTTGCAGAGCATCGGGCTAAAGGTTGAAGGTGCAGAGGTTCGGATTCAGGTTTTCGGATTTTTAAGGGGGTAAGGGATTCAGGGTCTTGTGTTGAGTGATACCGGGGTTGGTATGCATCCGCGCGAGCTGCTACCAACCGGAGAATCGTGGAGCCCCCAGCGCGCTGTTAAACCACATTTACGAAAGACCCAAGACCAGCCGTTTTTCTTATAAGCGTAGCATGCTACACCCCAAAGCTCATGTTGGAACCGTCAGAACCTGGATCAGAAGCCTGATCCCAAAAGGAGACTCGAAGAACCTGGAACCCCCAAACCCCAAACCCCAATCCCTCAACCCCAAACCCTGAACCCTAAACCCCATCCCTGAAACTTCAGAGAGAAGCCTAAGGAACTTCCTCCAAGTTTCAACAGTGGGGATCTTTAGGGGTAGGGCTCAGGCCTTAAGGTTTCGGGAGGGTTAGGGTTAAGGGCTGTGGGGTCTGAGGTGTAGGTTTTCGGGGCTTGGGGTCTCAAGGTTTAGGGCTCAGGATCCCAGGTTTAGCTATACTTTCCTTACCATGGGCATGTGGGGTAGGTTCCTCAACATGAGCGTGAAATGCTATGAAGCAGTTATCAGACCCGAAGCACTGAACCTCAAACCAGGGCTTCTTCCAGGGGAGGACCCCGTGAAATGATTGAACTGCACAGGTCGTTGCAGCTTGAATAGCTACCAATTGTCTTCCCCACTATACCACAGTATACCCCAAAGCCTATGAAAGCCCTAGACCCTAAATCCTAAACCCTTAACGTTTGGGGTTTAAGGTCTTCTAAACCGTGCCCTAAAGGCCCTTAATCAGGAGCTTCTAGCTCAGCATGACGGGCCTCCAGATCTCGCTGACCAGCCACTTTTTACATGCGCAATCAACGGTGCGGCGCCACGAGCAGTGGCGAGACTCGTAGCGGCAAGAGCAGACGTCAACCGCCAGTGGCCCAGCCGCAAGTGCGTTTTTTAGCGCTTGGGGCTTAGGGTTTAAGGCGACACGTAAAGATGCCACAGGACATTGAGGCCCCTAATATGATAGAACGATTGTAGTAACCCTTATTGACCCCTCTAAAGAACGCCGAAAGGAAGTCTATTCTACCTATCAAGGCTCCTATAGCAGGCTCCTCTAGCAGTTTAGCATTGGGCTTGGTTTAGGGTTTAGGGGTTTAGGGGTTTAGGGGTTTAAGGGTTTAGGGTTGGGTTTAGGGGTCTAGGGCTCGGCTTAGGTTTTGGAGGAAGTCAGAGCAACAATACGTGACCGGCTGTCCCTACCTCGTTTCGGTTTAACTAGGGGCCTTAATGAGCGGGTTTCTTTAAGGTTTCCTTTGACGGCTTCCTTTATATAAGGGGTTTGTTTCTACAAGGGATCAAGAGAGTTTTCATATAGGTGCCTTTGGGGTTTGAGCAAGATTTTGGGTATGTAAGGTATACACTATGCTACTGTTTTATAGGGACTATAAGAAGATCATGCAACAGCTTCTGTGGACCAGGCTGAGAGACTGCAAACTGTAAAAAGGAACGCCAAGCTTGTGGCGGCAATGATCGACCAGAAGTGTCCAACAGACCCCAAGGCGCACGCATGCTTTCAGGTACAAGCCCAGCCTACTGGAGCCGTTGGGCGTGTTCCTCCAAATCAAGAGCCTGCTGCATCGCGCTGGAACCCGTGGCTTAGCTAAGGAGGAAACGGTTTCGGGGTTAAGGGGTTCAGGCACGCCTGGCCCTCTGACGGGCTCTGACTTTAGAGGCCAATGGGTCCCAGGTTTGTACAGGCTTGGTTTCGCGAATTAAGGCCTGATGCTAAGGTTTGTTGTAACTCTGCAGCAAAGCGTACAACGTTTTTTTCGACTTAGGGTTTAGGGTTTGGGGGCTTAAGGTTTAGGGTCCTTCGGTCCTGTGGTTGATGATGCCCACTATGATTCTAAGATGCTGAATGCATCCATGTTCCCGGTTTATGGAGTTCTTTGGGGCTTTGGCTGCTGGATAACTTTGGGTTCCGGCGTGGAGCTGGGAGGTTTAACAGTTGGGCTGTGCGGGAGTCCCTGTAAGCCCTGAAGTCTAACCCAAACTGTATATAATCCCTGCGCTCCTACCTCAGTTGCCCGCTTCCAACTGCACTTGCTTAGGGAAAGGGCCCTGATGCTCTGAAGGCAAGAAGCCTCGAGCAGCATTCTTTTTGGTAGTCGCCTTGCCACCATTCCGGTCAGGGCTTTACCAATGGTTTAGAAGGGCGATCTCGGTTGGAGTTGCAGGTTGTGGCTAGCCTGGCTTTCTATCCAAGCTCTTCCAAAGCCCTTCTTCAATGCTCAAGCGTTAAGGCTAAGCCTTAAACCATCAAGGGTTTAGGGTTTATGGGGTTTGGGGTTTTCCTTTCCGCTGACCTTCCGCTTTTCGAAGATTTGGATCCGGGGCAGAAGGTCAGAAGCTCTGTAGGTTTTGCAAGAGCACGGCCTCTCTTTAGTCCCGAGCTAAAGGAGAACAGGGGATAGGGGCCTCATACTATGCTATAGTTATAGTCTATTATCGAGCCCCCAAAATATTATTGGTAATTATTCAGGCCGCTATTATTATTGAACCTTAGACCTTCAATCCAAGGCGAAGGTAAGGCACATGGCCCTCTTTTGTCTGGTCTTTCAACCAAGGGCAAACACCAGGTACGTGGCCCTCAATGCTGCAGTGCGAACATGAGGTCCCGCCACGAGAAGCTTTCTATGAAATATAGTTCATTTGGCAAATTCCGTTTTCGAGCAGTCTTTCAAAAGCAGGCAGCAGCAGTGTTTCCGAGCCTGCTGACCATGGCACACAGCTTCAGAGGCAATAGCAGAGGCAGCAGCAGAGGCTACAGCAAACAACAGCCAGGCGACAGAAACGCCCAAAACGAGAAAACAAACTTCGCTCGAGCCTTCCCATCCAAACCGTATCCGTGTTCTGTCAACCCCGAACCCTGCAGCCGAAAGCCTACCCCGGAACCCCTGAATCCAAAAATGAGAATCGAGCCCCTGAGCCGCCACAACCCCGAGCTCACCCGGCAGATCCTGGCCTGCGAAACCCCGGGAGTGATGAAGAACGTTTGGATAGAGGGTTTAGGGTTTAGGGTTTAGGATGTAAGGTTCAGGGTATAGGTGTCATCAGAAAGCTTCATGCTTCCTGGGTGTGTTGAGGTCAGGTGCCACAAGGGTCTAGAGTTTCGGGTCTAGGCTTCAGAAGCCTGCCCAGTGAAGCCTAAACCTTAAGCCAACGGGGGATCCCCCACAACCTCAGATACGGTTCCGAGGCAGCATGTTCAGCACGTGGGCCTACCATCATTACAAGGCGAGGGAATCGGGAATGTTGGCGTTCTCACGTTCACATTCTTACTGCGGGGGCCTGAATAACTACTAATTCTGTTCCTTAGGGTTCCTTCATCTGGCTATCTATGTATGTATGTATGTCTGTATGTATGTATGTATGTATGTATGTATGTATGTATGTGTGTATGTATATATACATACATACATACATACATACATACATATATATATATATATTTGTTGTTGAATTCCAATGTAAATCTATTCAAAAATAGTTTTAGTTAGGCCCCTATGTTCGGTGTTGGAGCAGACCTTTGGTTGCTGTGCGGAGGTTTCTTCTTGGTTTCTAGAAGAAAGAAGACAGTACACTTTCAGTCAGGAGTCAACCGCTAAATCAAACACCTAAACCCTAAACCCCAAACGCTAGCCCCGCAATAGTTGAAGGCATCTTCCTGAATTAAGGGGTATTTGGGGGCCAGTCTGAGGTTTGGAATCTACGCAGCTGGTTGTGTTTCCTTTGGCGAATGTAGAAGCTTGAACAAGTACTGCTACTATTCCTTCGTGTCCCTTAAAGTTTAGTTGTACAATACATCACAACCTACATCCCCAAACCGCATCCTATTAAGGCCCCTGCATAATGGTACCCATAGAGAACCCTTTTATCTTAGTACCCGAATAGGACCCTTTTCTTTAAAGGAACCTGTTCCAATTGTCAAGACCCCTGCATGAGATGAACGCCTCGTGGGCCCAGAGTAGGCTCCCGCACAACCCCAGCGATCTGAAGGCATGAACACTGGATCTTTACATAGACCCTAAAAATCGTAGCATAACCGATTACAATATATATATATATACACATACCTACATACACACATACATACATACATACAGACCATCCATCCATCTATCCATCCATCCATCCGTCCATCCATCCATTGCGTTGCGTTGCGTTGCGTTGCGTTGCGTTGCATTTCGTTGCATTGCATTGCATTGCACTACATTACATTACATGACATTACATTACCTTACATTACATTGCATTACATTACATTACATTGCATTACATTACATTACATTACATACCATTACAGTACATTACATTACATGCCATTACACTACATTACACTACACTACACTACACTACACTACACTACACTACACTACACTACACTACACTACACTACACTACACTACACTACACTACACTACACTACACTACACTACATACATACATGCATATTATAGGTTGTATGATGTATAATGTATCACTACTGTATAGTGCACAGTGCATAATACACAATAACAAATGTATATATATATATATAAATATGTATATACATGTATATATATATATATATATATGTATGTACATGTATAACTATATCTATATATA